TCCCTCCAGAGGCGCCAGGCTCAGAGAGCGCCTCGTCTCTGTCCTGGTCCGACTCCGTCCAGGTCCTGGCTTCGTGCTACACTTAAGTCGGGCCCGTCCCTCTACAGGAGGAGTATTCAAAAATAGTCAAATATATTCTGGGGACTATTTTCGGAGTATTTTTTTGCCATTTTGGAGCATTTTTACCTAACAGCGAAGACTGATAGGTTTCTAGTAGGGTCAAAAGAGAGCATCATGACGCCCCAGGGGGGTCTGGACGCGATCCGGGGAAGTGCCGAGTATTTTTTTTAGCCAACTGTAAGCCACTTCGTGGTCTTCGAGTTCCCAGAACTCCATTCCCGGGCCACATTCTGAATGCCCAGAGCCAGCTGTAGGCCACTTCGTGTTCTTCGAGTTCCCAGAACTCCATTCCCGGGCCACATTTTGAATGCCCTGAGCCAACTGTAGGCCGCTTCGTGCTCTTCGAGTTCCCAGAGCTCCGTTGCCGGGCCACATTTTGAATGCCCGGAGCCAACTGTAAGCCACTTCGTGTTCTTCGAGTTCCCAGAACTCCATTCCTGGGCATGATTTTGAATGCCCGGAGCCGACTGTAGGCCACTTCGTGTTCTTCGAGTTCCCAGAACTCCATTCCCGGGCCACATTTTGAATGCTGAGGCAGGCTGAGACTGAGGCTGAGGCAGGCTGAGGCCTGAGGCGGCTGAGGCTTAGGCCTAGGCTGCAGGCAGACTGAGGCTGAGGCTGAGGCAGGCTGAGGCTGAGGCTGAGGCAGGCTGAGGCTGAGCTGAGCCTGCTGATGCTGGGCATGCTGAGTCTGAGGCGAGGCAAAAGCAGTGCTGCGAGAGCTGAGGCACGCTTGAGGATGAGTGAGGCCGAGTCTGAAAGGCCGACTGAGCTGAGGCTGAAGCAGGCTGAGGCTGAGGCTGAGGCAGGCTGAGGCTGAGGCAGGCTGAGGCTGAGGCTGAGGCAGGCTGATGCTGAGGCAGCCTGAGGCTGAGGCCGAGGCTGATGCAGGCTGAGGCTGAGGCAGCCTGAGGCTGAGGCCGAGGCTGAAGGCAGACTGAGGCTGAGGCTGAAGCAGGCTGAGGCTGATGCTGAGGCAGGCTGGTGCTGAGGCTGAGGCTGACAGGCTGAGGCTGAGGCAGGCTGAGGCTGAGGCCGAGGCTGAAGGCAGACTGAGGCTGAGGCTGAAGCAGGCTGAGGCTGAGGCTGAGGCAGGCTGAGGCTGAGGCTGAGGCAGGCTGATGCTGAGGCAGGCTGAGGCTGAGGCTGAGGCTGATGCAGGCTGAGGCTGAGGCAGGCTGAGGCTGAGGCCGAGGCTGAAGGCACTGAGGCTGAGGCTGAAGCTGAGGCTGAGGCTGAGGCAGGCTGAGGCTGAGGCTGAGGCTGAGGCTGAGGCTGGCTGATGCTGAGGCAGGCTGAGGCTGAGGCTGAGGCTGATGCAGGCTGAGGCTGAGGCAGGCTGAGGCTGAGGCCGAGGCTGAAGGCAGACTGAGGCTGAGGCTGAAGCAGGCTGAGGCTGAGGCAGAGGCAGGCTGAGGCTGAGGCTGAGGCAGGCTGAGCTGAGGCAGGCTGAGGCTGAGGCTGAGGCTGATGGCAGGCTGAGGCTGAGGCAGGCTGAGGCTGAGGCCGAGGCTGAAGGCAGACTGAGCTGAGGCTGAAGCAGGCTGAGGCTGAAGGCAGGCTGAGGCAGGCTGAGGCAGGCTGAGGCTGAGGCTGAGGCAGGCTGATGCTGAGGCAGGCTGAGGCTGAGGCTGAGGCTGATGCAGGCTGAGGCTGAGGCAGGCTGAGGCTGAGGCCGAGGCTGAAGGCAGACTGATGCTGAGGCTGAAGCAGGCTGAGGCTGAGGCTGAGGCAGGCTGAGGCTGAGGCTGAGGCAGGCCGATGCTGAGGCAGGCTGAGGCTGAGGCTGTGACTGCGACTGCCGTTGCCACTGCGACTGCCATCGCGAATGCGACTACGACTGCGAGAACAGCAGAATTCTACAACAGGATTCTCCTCTTGAATCTTAAGGGGAATGCTTCCAGATGTGCTCCTACGCATCGCTGTTGGGCTGCTTTGCCGGGATGATTTACTTATTTTGTGCTTATTTTTCCTCGAGGATCCCCCTGTATAGGGGGACACGCCCGACTTGCTGCTGCCCTCGGGCCCCCCCCCCCCGAACGGCGTGGTGGCCAGCACCGCGCGGGGCGTCGGTGGGGACGCGGGGCCCCTTTCGCGGCGGCGGGAGCGTCGGGCAGCTCTCCGAGGACGCCTCGGGCGGCGAGCGCCCCTCCGGGGTCCAGAGGGCCCGGGTGGCGACGGACGCCGTGCGGTGAGGTCGCCGGGGATCCCGAGGCCGCCCCGGTCTCCCCCCCATCCGGGGTCTCGCTCGAGGCGTTCCGGGGGCTGCCCTGGGCTGCCCTGGAGGTCTCCTGTCAGGAGGAAGCAAGCACACAGACACAATCAATCGTCGGTCCTAAGAAAATATGGGAACATATGGGGACTGGGCGGGAAGACAAACACCCAGAACATATGTGAAAACATGGGGGAATATGTTTATTTGTGAGTATTTATTTGTTTGTCCCAGGGCCCCTTCATCTTGGGCCGTCTTGGGTGGGGCCTCCTGGGCCGCGCCCTCTCAGGGGCCTCTGAAGCCGTGCTGGGGCGATCTTTAGGGCCTCCGGGACCGTCTTGGAGCGTCGGGAAGCCGAAAAAGCAGAAACGCGACAATCCATCAAACACCTTCGGACAATCAGTGATTGTTGTTTCTTGGGGCCTTTTCGGGAGTGACCACATGTTTCTGGGGAGCCGAATGCCATTGCTACCCCCTTCTTTCGGCTTCAGCTGTAAGTCATCGGAGCCTCGTGTGTCTTCGGAATTCCGTCTCTAGACTGCACTCGCGTGCGCTAGCGTCTGGTAGTGCATGAGGAAGCGCAGATCTGCGCCGACGTAGTGTCGATTAGCGTCTAAGCGCGTATTAGCGTCGACTAGCGTCTTTTAGCGTCGATTCGCAATAGCCAACAATGGGGAAACCACAAGGTACCGATATTGCTGCTCCCCGGACCTCCCCCGTGGTGCGTTCTGACGAGGATTTCGAGGCGGATCTAGCGGTGGCGGCGAAGGCCTCCCAGGAGGCCCAAGAACGGCGAAAACGAGGGGAGGGTAAAGGTAGGGGTACTTGTTCCTCCTCCGAAATAGGATGGTATTGCAGGCTTCCACGAGTTTCTAGGCCTCCCAGATTGGGCCCGATCAGATGGGGTCGGAGGATCGCGACGCATCGCCGATGCCTCGCCAATGTATCGGCGATGCGGCGCGATCCTCCGACCCCATCTGATCCGGCCCCATCTGGGAGGCCTCTACTTGGAGACTCCCAGGGCTTGACCTAAACGCTGTTTTGCAAGACTTCGGCTGTGTTTTGTCTTTCGTTTTGGCAGGGAGCAAACCGCACAGCAAAATGAGTACAAAACGAAAGCAAGACAAAAACAAACACGGAAACGACAACAAAACGAAAACAACACGAACAACAAACAAACAAAACGAAACCAAAGCAAAAACGAACATAACACGAAATCAAGGCAAACAACAACGTTCGGGTCCAGCCCTGGAGGCTCCCGCGATCCTCCGACCCCACCTGCCTGGACTCCGTCTGGGAGGCCTCTACGCGTCTTCCTCCGACGCGAGGATGGTGCGGTGGAGGCCCGTGCCAAGAGACACCCTGCTTGCCTCCAGGGTGCCCTGGGCTGCTTCTTGAGTTTCGGATGGTCTTGCGACGGAAAGCGTGCCGTTCCCACACCAACAACCAAAATCAGCGGACGTCCCAGGGTCTCAGGGTTGGGTTTCTCGTGGGAGGTTCTTTGTGAGCTGGCCTCCACTGTATTGGAGGCTACCATGAGCCAGTATCATTTATCCGACCCCCAGCCCCATCCTCATCCCCTTCGAGACCCCCACCAAATTACCACCCTGGTTGGGGATACACCCGTTGAAACCCGAAGAGAGCGACCTACATCCCCATCAGGGGGGGTAAATCGGCCAGTGGGGCCCAGGCCACGCCACTGGGGATGGGGATCGGTTAAACGATACAGCCAAGACGCTGAAATAAGGAACGCCTCGGGTTTGGAAGGGGCTCGCTGTTCCTTAAGCTCTTCCATGGCTCCTCCTCCAGCACCCCTCGTGCACCTAGGCGCTTCTGGGGCCAAGGAGGGGCTTCGTTCCTTATTTAGCGTTCCTTCTGATAGTACCTCGACTGTACTCGATGAGCTGCCATCGAACCCGTTCTGGTCGAAGCCTGGGCCCCCCAGGCGCTCTCGCGGCTCGCCGCCCGCGGCGACCGGCGGGCTGCCGCCGTGGCGCTGGGCGGCCTGGCGCGCCCCCGGGGGGGGGTGCGGCCCGCGACGACGACCGACGACGACCGACGACGACGACGACGACGACGACGACGACGACGACGACGACGACGACGACGACGACGACGACGACGACGACGACGACGACGGACGACCGACGACCGACGACCGACGACCGACGACCGACGACCGACGACCGACGACGACGGCGAAGACGACGACGGCGTCTCACACACATTGAAGGGACGACGACGACGCGGACGTCGTCATCGTCGTCGTCGTCGTCGGCGCCGTCGTCGTCGTCGTCGCCGTCCTCGTCCTCGTCCTCGTCCTCGCCCTCCTCCTCCTCGAGCTCCTCCTCCTCCTCCTCCTCCTGCCCCTCTCAAGCCACGTCGGCCCGAGTGGGCCCCCGCAGCGCCGCTCGGCCGTCGTCCCGGGGCTTAATGTGGGGTGGTGCGCCGCTCCCTGCCGCTTGAGGTCCAGGTGCTCCTGGCAACGCCGGGTTGAATTCGTTCGCCTCCTCGCCCAGTGCATGCTACAGCTACCTGCTTTCCTGGTGGTCTTCCTCGTGGTCTTGGGGCCGGGCTTCTTGGCTGGCGGGCTGCTGGGCGTGCAGGTGCTCGGTGTGGGCATGATGCCAGTGCTTTGTTCGAGGCGTTTTGTTCATACAATGCGGGACTGGGCCCATTTCTACTGGTTTGCTTTGCTCAGTTGTATTCTGGTGGGAGTTGGCTCAGTGCAATGTTTATGCAGGGTTCGAGGGACGAGCCGTGGTGGCTAGCATTCCCCTCGCCCAGGGCCTGGAGTGCCCTTGTTTGATGCTGTGGGCGCTGCTTACGTCAACCAGCACGTGGGCCACATTGCCGTGGGGGTGGTGTGTTGTCGCGCCGTACGGGTTTGTCCTGCTCGGCATGTTCTTCGCTGTTGTGTTCTACTCGGGTAAGGCGTTTATCATCATCTTGGACGGGGCTGCGGTTGCCATACTGTGGTTGGATTCCTCATGGTTGAAAGAAGCTTGGCGCTCGCCATGGTGCCGTGGGCGGCTGCAGCGTGGTTTCTCGTCGTCTTGTTTCGAGGTGGTGGCATTGTCCTTTTCTCGGTTGCATGGCATCGTGTTCATTGTGGCGCAGGTACTTGGTCTTTTTCGTGTACTGTTGCGGGCTCGAGGGACGAGCCGTGGTGGCTAGTATTCCCCTCGCCCAGGGCCTGGAGTGCCCTTGTTTGCATGCTTTGGGCGCTGCTTACGTCAATCAGCACGTGGGCCACATTGCCTGGGGTGGTGTGTTGTCGCGCCGTACTGGGTACCTGCTGCTCGGCATGTTCTTCGCTGTTGTGTTCCTCTCGGGTACGGCCTTTATCTTCAACTCGGACGGGGCTACGGCTTGCCTTACTGTGGATTGGATTCCTCATGGTTGAAAGAAGCTTGGCGCTCGCCATGGTGCCGTGGGCGGCTGCAGCGTGGCTCTTCGTCGTCTCTTTCGGGGTGGTGGTATTGTCCTTCTCTGGGTTGCATGGCATCGTTTTCATCTTGGGCTGCAGGCACTTGGTGTTGTACGTGTACTGAGGTGTGATTGGTTGGTAGGGGCTGAGCTTGCACTCAGGAGCCCGCCATGAGGAATTCCAGGAATTCCTCCTCCTGCCCCTCCTTCCTCCTCCCCCATTCGGAGCATTCCTGAACGCCCACCGGCCCAACAAATTCTCGCCCAAAGATTGTGCTGGACGACGCGACGGAGACGCGAGCGACCAGGCTCGGACGACATTCGTCGCAGACAACCCGGAATGGTGGAATTCGTTGCTGCAGGAGTTTTGCAAGATTTGAAGACCTACGGCCCCACGCGGCCTGCCCCGAGAGGGCCCGGTCTTCTCGGCCTCTTCCTCTTCGTCCTCCCAGACCCCTTCGCGTCGTGGAAAAAACACGACGGACGTTTGCTGTCTTCGGAGTTATGGGGCTTTTTCCGGGCCTTGGGACCGTCAAACAATTATTATGATTGGAAAGCTGGTCCCCGGGAAGGGGTCCAGTGCTTTCGTGGTCCATGTCGCGAAGTTTGCCAGACGGATGACCCATACAGATGCAGCTCCGAGTACCGCTCGAGGCAGGTGATACGAAGAAGAGGGGCGATCAAAGAACGAGTGCGGTGCGATTTGGCCTTTTCGCATCGGCAGTGTGCTACAAAATTGATGCAACTCGAGCCATGCGGGCGCTGCCTCTGCGGCGTGTGCCGAAATGTGGCGGGGCCGTCAGGCGGGCGCTGCCACTGAGGCCGAGCCCACTGATATGCGGCCACGAACCGTATGAGGGGCGTGAAAATGGTGGCGGGTGCGCCATGCGGACCCTCCCACGATGGCCTCCGGTGGAGCTCCTCATGGGACCCCGGATTTTATGAGGGGTGTGCCGACATGGGCCCGGTGGTGGCATGCGGACCTTCCCACCTGGTCATTTTGTGGAGCTCCCTATCGGGCCACGAAACGTTTGAGGAATGTGCTGAAACGGGTGCGATGGTGCACCGGAGCTTTCAGTGGAGCTTCTGATCGTACGAGGGGTGTGCCGAAAATGAGTCCGGTGGTGGCATTTGGACCTCCCACGGGGGCGTTAGATGAAGCTCCCCATGGGACCACGAAGCGTGTAAAGGGAGTGCCGAAATGGACGCGGCGGTGGCATGCGGACCCTCACGCTGTGGCCGTCGGTGGAGCTCATTATGGGGCCACGAATTTTATGATGAGGTGTGCCGACATGGGTCTGGTGATGGCATGCGGACCTTCCCACGTTGGCGTTGTGTGGAGCCCCTTATGGGGCCACGAAGCGTATGAGAGGTGTGACGACATGTGTGCCGTGGTCGTCTGCAGAGACCCTCACACTGGGGCCTCCGGTGGAGCTTCTCATGAGGCCACGAAACGTGTAAGTGGTGTGCCGAAATGAGCGCGTTTGTGGACGCGGGTCTTCACACTTTTGCTTCCGTTGGGGCCCCTTATGGGGCAACGAAACGTGTGGAGGGTGTGCCGACATGGGTCTGGTGGTGGCACGCGGACCCCCACACAGTGGTCTTCGGTGGAGCCCCCTATGGGGCCACGAAGCGTGTGAGTGTTGTGCCGGAATACGACTGATGATACTGGTGATGACGATGTTTGTGATGACGATGATGAGGATGATGGTGATGACGACAATTGCAATTACAATGGTTATACTGATGATGATCATGATGATGATGCTGATGATGATGATGATGATGATGATGATGATGATGATGATGATGGTGGTGGTGGTGGTGATGATGATGCTAATGCCGATGATGCTGATCATGGTGGTGGTAATGATGATCATGAAGATGACCATAATGGCGATGATGCAGATGACGACAAGGACGCTGCTGATGATGACGATTGTCATAATGGCGATGAGGATGTGTGGAGGGCAGATGCAGGGATGGGAGGAGGAAAGAACGGGAGGCGGGGGAGGAGGAGGAGCGAGTGAGTGGGGAGGAGGAGGAGGAGAAGAGGAGGGGGGGGGGAGGAGGAGGGGAGGAGGAGGGAGAGGGAGGAGGAGGAGGAGGAGGAGGAGGAGGAGGAGGGAGGAGGAGGAGGATGGAGGAGCGGAGGAGAGGGGAGGAGGGGAGGAGGAGGAGGAGGAGGAGGAGGAGGAGGAGGAGGAGGAGGGCGCGTGGCGATGCGTATTCCCAAAGAGGACCCATCACCACAGGACTATGCTGGGGTCTTGGTCCCCCCTCGCCCCTCCCGGGGAGGAGAGGAGACCGACGCGGCTGCTCGACCCGGAGAGCCCTCACCGCCACGGCCAGATTCTCTTCGACGCCCTGGCTGGAACGCACCCTTGGAGAGGTCCGTGGAGCATCGGCATCGGTGCGCTCGTGTCTCCGCACCCCTCCCGTCACCTCCCCTCCCCTCCCCTCCCCTCCCTCCTCGTCGCCCTTCCCGTCCCATCCTCCTCCTCCTACGCTTCTGCCTCCCCAGCTGCCGCGTTGCTCGATCGGTTTTGCTGGCGGCAGACCCAGATTTTTTCGCAGCAGCCAGACAGGGGGCATCACTACCTCCTTGCTCGACATCGGCCGGCCTGTGGCCGTGCGCCACGAAGACTTTGGGGATTGAGTTCCCAGAGCGCCCGTGGAGATCGACCGGAGGAGATCGCGTCACCGTGCAAGGGATTGGACTCTGCTCTCCTGATAGGGGCTCGAGCTCGCGATCGTAAAGCGGAAGTGCCGCTCCAGAGGAAAGTGCGATCCGCGTGCCAGGGGCGTCCAGCGCCGATCCGAGAAATCCGCACGGGCCTCCGCGAGCGTCTGCTTCGGCGGGTGTGGCTCCTCGCCGCGGGGAGGCCCGGGGTCCTGGGCGAGCGCCGCCCCCGTCCGCGCCCTCGCGGGCCGGGCCCCTCGGCCGCGCCCCTGCGGACACGGGGCGCTTCTGCCCGGATGCCCTGCGCGGAACGCATCCGTCCGACCGCTCGTCCGCAGGATGGCGTCCCAGAGTCCGGACTTCGAGAGTGTGGATGCGGATGCGTTCGCCGTTCGTGAAGAGGAAGAGGAGGAGGAGGAGGAGGAGGAGGAGGAGGAGGAGGAGGAGGAGGAGGAGGAGGAGGAGGAGGAGGAGGAGGGGGAGGAGGAAGTTCCCTTCATTATTAGCCTCAGACAGATCCTCACCCCTATGATCGGTATCGCCTCATTTCATCTCGACGCCTATCCTTAGAGATTCCTCAGTTTGCGAGGGCGCATGCCTAAGATCGTCATCGCCTTCGACCTTGTCAATCGACCTTCGACCTTGTCAACATTCGCCAAGGTTGCCCCCGAAACCAGACCGCGATCAGTTTTCGGTATGGGATAGGGGGCGTCCTCTTGGAGCTTGTGGCGCTCGACGGTGGTGGCGATGATAGTGGTGACGATGATGAGGATCATGGTGATGACGACGCTTACGATTATGATGGTGATAAGGATGATGGTGCCGGCGATGTTGATCAGGGCTTCTCCCCTTGAAGGCCCAGAGGGCGGCTTTCGAGCTTCTGGCGCTCATCTTTTTATCCCTCTGTGCGGTTTTCGGACTTCTTCCACGTCTTCCCGCTGTGGCCGGGCGGGGCTAGGACGAGGAGAAATCGATACCAGAGCGTTCCGGAACGCTGTCAGAGCGTTCTGGAACGCTTTGCGAAGGCCGCGGTGCCCTATTCCAGAGCCCCCTGATCACAGAGACTCTCGATTCATCCTCACCCGAATCTATCCTCGTCCTGGCTTCGTCCCCTGTCTTCCTGCTGTGCACGCCTGTGCTCTGGCACGCACGTTCAAGGACTTCGTGCTCTGAGCGTGCTCCGCCTTCTTCTCCCTCGCGCCCGCACTCCGTCTCTCCGTGCTGTGCTCCCCAATTTTGCCCCGTAGTGTTGTCGGGCTTGTTCCTCTACAGGAGGAATCTTCAAAAATAGTCCAAAAATAGTCTGGGGACGATTTTTTGATTTTTCGATAGGCTTACGCCACATCCTCTGACCCCTATGTAAACTACTGCGCCTCCAGGATTGCATGTCACGAGGCTTGTCCGAATCATGACACGGCGCTCGACAACGTTCCTGTTGCTTCGTTGCTGTTATCGTACCTCTTCGTGCCCTTTCGTGGCCTTTTGGTGGCATCTTGGCCTCTCTGCAGGCCATATCCCTGGCCGCCTCGAGGCATCTTGGGCCAAGTTTTGGGGCCTCTTGAGGGCTTCCTGGGGGCTTCTCGGAGGCCTCTGAGGTTCTGTTGGGGGTCTCAGGGCCTCTCGGGGCGTTCTTCGGGCAGCCTGGGGGCGTTTTGGGGCCGAAGGCTCGAAAAGGTGCCCTCTGGACTCCCTCTTGGGGCCGTCTGGGGGCCCTCTTGGGCTGTCTTGGGGGCTTCGTGGGCTATTTTTGGACCCTCTTCGACCCCTCTTGGGGGCCCCTTCGGCCGTCCGGGGGCGATATTGAAGGTTTCTTTGCCCGTCTCGGACGTTGTGAAAGCCGAACAGGCAAGTATACGAAAACTGTGAGTATGCGATTTTTTATCTGCAAAGGGAGTGGGGCGATTTTTGTTTCTTGGGACACTCTTCGGTCATCTTGGGGGCCTTTTGGGGCGTCTTGGCAGCTTCGGAGGCCGTCTGGAGGCTATCGTGGGCGTCAAGGAGCGATGTTTCGGCGATTCGTGGCCTTCTAGGACCGTCTGGGGAGCGTTTTGGTACCTTCTTGCCCCCTTTTGGAACCCTCCGCTCTCCCATGGCGCGTTCGGTCCGGGGTCGCGTCAGGCCAAGGGGGGGGGGTCAAATTGCCGGTTTGGGGTCCCTGGGGGGGGGGATTATGGGGGGGGAATAATCTCACACGCCTAGAGACCAACAGTGGGCCGGCAGATTCTTTGAGTATCTTAAGCTCTTCTTCCAAAATTTGCCTGTAGGAGGACATGCCCGACCCAACCGTAGTGCCCTTCGGCCGCCTGCGACCGCGGCGTGGTTCCGCGCCGCCGCGGCCAACAACGGATCTCTATTCTCGGGGGCCTCGTGGAGCCTTCGGCGTTTGCCTCTGCTCACCGAGGATAAGAAGAACCCCGAACCCGAATCTTAAGTCGGGCACGTCCCTCTACAGGAGGAATATACAAACATAGTAAAATATCAGTCGGGGGGATTTTTTCAAACATGTTTCAACCATCTTAGGGTTTTTTGTTAGTATTTATTTGTTTCGCCCAAGCTACCCTTGTAGGGGGACAGGCCCGACCTAAGCCCAATTTAGAATAACATCTTGAAGACGTGGCCTCCCTTAGGTCCCCGTCTTTGCATGCGGGGTAAAATCTGGGCGGTTCGGCTTGATACAGCAGCAGGAAAATCACTAATCCTTATCCCTATTTTGTTGGTCCGCGGAAGGCCTTAGAGGCCGGTGCCGCCGCCCCTGAAGGCGGCGACGACGAGGACGGCGAGGATGTGGAGCACCTCTTGGATCTGTCTGGGCGCCTCTTCGGGCCCTCTGGGGGCGCCCCTGGGAGCCGCAGGGTCCTCCTGATTCAGGCCCCCTCCCAAGCCTCCCGCCGCCATGCGCTGGCGGCCGCAGGCTTTAGTCGGGCGTGTCCCTCTGCAGGAGGAAAATTCAAGAATAGTAGAATCTGGGGGCGATTTTCCAATGTTTCTGGCTATTCTGGAGTATTTCCAAATATTTTTCATTTTTGATCATCAAATCTGCACCTCCCGCCGCCGTGCGCCAGCGGCCGCAGGCGGACGACGACGACGCTGTGCGCGTGGAGGCGCTGCGGCTGCTCGCGGGCACGGCCGAGAGCGGCGACGCCCCCCGGGGGCGCCGGCGGGGGCAGCGCTGGGCGGGCCGAGCGTCAGAGGGGGAAAAGGTACCCATGGCGTGAAGTCGGGCGTGTTCCTCCCCAGGAGGAATCTTCAAAAATAGTCTCCCAAATAGTCAGGGGACGATGTTTCCATCATGTTTGGCCACTTTG